ATCGGTTAGGCATTGACCTCTTGTCTTCTTGGCTGGGATATGAGTTCATTCTTCTTGGATTAGGACACCCACTGCCGAGGGGATCTTGGCTTTGATGTTTCGCTTGTATTCTGATTGCACCATCCATGGCTTAACTCGCACCCTGTACACCACTCAATTCTCCATTGTTGCATTTGGTCACTCGTTGTCTGATTTGCTGTACGGACACGGAGCTGGTCAGGCTAGACTCGAGAGGACCTCGTATGCAGCCTGATCAGACTGGGTCGCTGGATCAGACCTCTCTTTGAGTTTGATTGTTTCTTCTGCTGTTCTCTGCTTCCAAATGAAATGCCGCTACGGCTAGGAGTTCTACCTTCTTTTCCCTGAGCTTTATCTGTTTTTCTGAGTTCATTTTCGATGCCCGTGGAGACTCGCAATCAGAAAGAAGAAAGAGAGAGGAGGGAGAGAGAACAGGGAGAGAGGGAAAGTGATAGTCTGAAGTGGGCAAGGACTGGGAAAAGGAGTGTTCGTCTAAGCGCGGGGGGGAGTGAACCTCTTGAGAGTCTGATTGATTCTTTTGCTGTCTGGCGACTCTCTGATCCACCTGCCCACATTGACAGTCCGAAGATGGCCTAGCTAAATTCGACGCAATGGCGGGCCTTGTTAGATGTAGCCGGTGATGCTGAGAAACCACATCTGCAAGCACTCTTGGATGGTGCTATAAAACGGGAACAGGAGTCAGAGAAGGAGAGGAAGGAGGCCTTGTTGAGAAGGCAAGTAGCCCTCCTAGAGACTGTTCCCTCACTGACTGAAGAGCAGTGCGGGGAACAACTGCAGTCCATCCTCACAGCCTTTGTTCAAATCAGGAATCTTGAGGACCATACCACTCAGATCGTTGAAGTCTTTGCAAAACTGTAGACACTTCAGGATGATCTGACTGAGATGACCCTCAAGTACCATGAACTGACAAAGGAGGTGGCGGATCTGCAACAAGCCCAAGTGGCCAACCCTCTTCCTCTACCTCCTGGGACCGAAGCTGCAATCGAAACTACCTCTACCCCTCTTACTGTATCTTCTTCTACCTCATCTTCGAGTGTGATGGCAACTCCTTCGGGACCTGCAGCAGGTGCAGATTCCACTGTTGCTGTAACAAGCAATGAGGCTGGAACTTCTGCAATTGCTACAGCCCCAAGACCGGAACCAGCTGCTGCTGGTCCCAGCCACGCCAGTCCCTATGTGGACCGGAAGGCGGTTCAAATACCGTCCAAGTACGATGGCAAGGAAGGCATCGAGTCCTGGATCGGCTCCATGAGGGCCTACTTTGAGATCCTGGGGACTCAAGCTAAGACCCGGGCAATTATCATGGGTATGAATGTCGAGCCAGTCGTACGGGGCTTCCTAGAAGTCCAAGCAACGCGGGCTGGGTTCCAAAAGTCTGCACTAGCCAAATGGCTAAGGTCCACCCCGGTTGCCTCCCTCGAAGAACTCCTTATCTCAGAATACCAAGATCCACATGTTGCTGCTAAGGCAAGGATTCAACTGGATAAAGTAAAGCACAACAAGTGGAATGGCTCCATGAAAAGCCTGCAGACCTATCTAAGCAAGTTGTTTGCCACTCCTGTTTTTGAGTTGTCCACTCAATCCTGCTTAGATCTGGTCAAGGGCGCGGTTTCCACTAACTTCACTAGTCGCCTGGGCAGGGACTACATTGCTTATACTGACTGGCTGGCCTTAATGAAGGATGTAGTCAGTCTGGAGGCCATGGACCTCGTTAGCACGGCAGGTAGCAAAAAGCCCATGGGCGGCAGACGGTTCAAGGGCAGCAACCGTTTTGTTGTGCATGACCTGTTGGAGGCTGAAGAAGAAGCCGATGCGGGTGACCCCACTCTTGGTGACGACCAAGAACAGGACTCCGATACCGCTTGTTCTTTAGCCCATGAGTTCGATGCAAATAAAGAAGAAGAAAATTTTTCTACCTTTAAAAAGATTGCCAGTATTAAGGGACCGAATCGGAGTGCCGGAAAGAGTTATGTCCAACTCCCCAAAGGAGTTAAGATCCCGCCTAAACCGGAGGATGCATCTACCAAACCATGGGTTGACCTCCGGATCACTGAGAATGACTGGCGGGGCAGACTCAAGAAGGGGGTTTGCCTGTATTGCCAAAAGCCAAATCCCAAGGTCCAAGACTGTTATAGGTTGCACGGAAACCAGAACCGGGCGTAGAGTCAGATTCAGCAAACTCTACAACAGGGGAGTTAGGATCTAATGAAAATCAGCAGCCCTCCCTTGAAGCCCAACCATCTGCTGAAGACAAGGTTGCGGTAAGTAACGTATTGTATGACGAGCCTTGGGAGGAGTCTGAGATGATTGACTTCCACTACCACTTGGAGCATTGGGCTTAAATGAAACAGCAGCGGGCCCAAGGGACGGTGAAGTTAATCTTCTTTAAACTTCTCATCAACCACCGCTATCTCCATGTGTTAGTTGATCGTGGTGCTACAACTAATTTCATGTCACCACATGGGATACGCAAGGTGGGCTTGGGGATGAAGCAAGTGGCCCTGCAGAACCCTTGCCGGACCCAAGTTGGCAACAAAGAAGTTCTCTTCTACACATGCAGTCAAAGGTGTGCGCACTACCTTTGACAAAGGTAAGACTGTCACCCATGCACTGAACTTCTTTGTCCTTGACAAGTGCCCCTTCGACGCTGTCCTTGGCTTGGGCTGGCTGGAGTCCCAATGCGAATGGACCAAGTGGAAGGAATCGCTCTTCATGGTCAAAGATGCTCAGGGGAATGACCGTCCTGTCCTCGTGGATGAGAAGCACGAATCCCCAGTGACTTTTCTAAATGCATTGAAATTCTACAAGAAGTGGCGCAAGCACAAGAAGGAAGAACAAATGTATGTTGCCTTTGTTCGTCCTGCTCATGTGCCTTCTACGTTTGTGGCTAGTACCACCACTACCTTGAGTAATGATCCTACTTCTAGCACTTCTACTACTAGCACCTCTACCTCTCTACCCTCCGATAGTCCAAATGATCCTACTCCAGATTCGGTCGTTTCTATACGTGACTTGCGACCGGACTTTGGTGATCCCTTTGCTGATTCCCCGCCCCCACCTGTCCCATCAGACATCCAAGCCCTCCTCGATCGATTTTCGGAAGTCTTGGCCGAGCCACGTGGAGTCCCCACGCGACCGGTTCGACACACCATCGAGTTGGTCGAGGGTGCTGTTCCTCTAAAGGGCTGCGTGTACCGTATGGGACCCAGCGAATTGGAGGAACTCCGGCGGCAGATCGATGAGATGATTGACAAAGGGTGGATCAAACCAAGTGAATCTGAATTTGGTGCTCCTGTGTTGTTTGTGCCAAAGAAAGGAGGCAAACTCCGCATGTGTATTGACTATCGCGGTCTAAACCGCATCACAAGAAAGAATGCTTACCCATTGCCTCGTATAGATGACTTGCTTGATGCTGCAAACTCCGCATGTGTATTGACTATCGCGGTCTAAACCGCATCACAAGAAARAATGCTTACCCATTGCCTCGCATAGATGACTTGCTTGATGCTGCAGGCAGGTGCAAGGTCTTCTCCAAGATCGATCTCAAGTCTGGCTACCACCAAATTGAAGTCGATCCTGCGGACCAGCACAAGACTGCGTTCAAGACGCGCGCTGGGCTTTATGAGTTTACCGTAATGCCCTTCGGTCTTACGAACGCACCAGCCACGTTCCAAAGCCTCATGGACAAGGTCCTCCGCGAACAAATTGGCCGGTTCGTGGTAGTGTACCTGGACGATATCCTGATTTTCAGCAAGTCCATGGAGGAACACCTCAAGCATCTTGAGGAGGTACTTGCCATCCTCAAGAAGACGCAGCTCCATCTCAACTTGGAGAAATCCGAGTTTGGGAGGGATAGCGTCATCTATCTTGGGCACCGGTTGTCTGCTGCAGGCCTAGAGCCTGAGGCAACCAAGATTGAGGTCATACGCGATTGGCCTCAGCCTGTGAACATTCGTGAATTGCGTTC